GCGGCGATATCACCCTTGAATTGACGGTCGATGACGGCCAAGTCTTTGAGGACGATACCGTATTCGGTGGATGCTTCGATGAGTTCGTCCATTGCACTCGTGCGGAGGGCGTCGAGGAAGGCTGCGTTGTTGGCTTCCGAGTTTTCCTCCATAATATCTGGACCGATTTGGCGTTGCTTGATCATGGCAGAGTAGTCGAGGTGGGATACAACTTGGGTCAGGATAGATTGGGTCTTGTCGCGGAGAGCTTCGTAGGCGGTGCTGTAGCCGTGTTGGGTGAGCTTGAGAGGCTCCATGAGTTGCCATTTCAAGTAGATGGTGAGTGACACTGGGACTTGGTCACGCGTGAAAATGTCCTAACGAAGGGTTAATTTAGAATTTATTTCATACTCTCGACTCACCTTAGTGGGCATTTCCAGTTGGTTCTCGCCAAATGTAAACATGCCTCGAAGCGTAATGCTAGGATCAACGACATAATGTTGTCCAGCAGGCATGATAATGAGATCGTTACCCTTTTGAAGGACCGCACAATTGTTGGCCGGGATATCCAAGAACAAGGCGACGACGAATTCCTTGTCGCCTCCACCTCTACCCGTGTTCCTCGTCATCTTGATTTCCTGAGTATAGCCAAGGACGGCTTTGGTCACCTTGTCTCGGACGACATTCGTCAAGTGAGTTTGGTCGACGACGGCGAGGATGGTGTAAGCGCCTGCCAACGAGAGCGCAGCGAATCCGCCATTCTTGATCACAAATACTTTATTTTGCGGGTCACATATAACCGCAGCTTGGTTCTGAGAAACTTGGACAACAATCAATCCTTGGAACTATAATATTTGCATTGAGGATAAACTTTAAAGCGGACGGTAGGCTGGACGCACCTCGATCACGGTCTCGGACAAGGCCTTGGCACCGACATACTGCCTCGCAATCCAATTCCTCAAAGGGAAAGGGGGGTATCGGCCGGGTTTTAATAAGAGCTTGGGCAGCCCACCGTGATTCACGAGGCCGACTTGACCTGGGATGAGTTCCGACCCGATCCACGAGATGGGTTCCTTCTTTGAAAGGAGGCCTGCTTGGCCTTGATCTTTGAGTTGCTGATCGAGCTTTTTGAGAGCGCCCATTATGCCGTCTTTGGCGTTGATTCTGACGAAGAAGGGCCGCTCTTCGAGTGTCCCGACGTCCTGTCGAGGAAAGGCTGGTTAGAGAAAAATTGAGAGAGGAATGTTAGGAACGTACCAATTCGTTACTGTGAAGGACGGATTCGTTGATGGGGGACATTGGGAATGGTGGCCCTTGCCTCCCCTTGCCCTTTACCTCGGCTGGGATGTCGCTGGGTTTCAAGGTTACATCGTAGGGTGCTTGATCTTGTGCACCGATGATGGTAGCGGTCCCAGCGACGGACATCTTGTGATCAGACGGGGTGTTTGTAGTTGGGGAAGAGAGTTGGGGGGTGAAAAGATGAGGGATCAGCTAGACGAGCAGCTGGGCGTTATATAGTATTCTAGCAGAATACAAACAGTCAGAATACTGATGAGTGGAGATGGAGGTTGGGATGACAAAAGCGAGTAAAGGGATCAGGCGTCGAGGGGATGGCTGTGGTGCTGCGATTGGATCCCTTGTACATGGACGACTGATCGGGCACGGCTAGACATGTGCTGGTAACACGGGATCAGAAGTAAAGGCATACTCGTTGCATTGCACGGCATGCCATTGCACGTTTGGGATACCAGTAATTTCTCTCTTGTCATACTCGTCCGCCGAACGATGGCTGTTCAAAACGTTTCTTCGAATTCGTACAGAGTAATTCTGATAAGAAGTGGACCCCACGAGATCCTGTGAATTGTCAAAAGGCCACGGGGACATACAGTATCCCTTGAGGCTGGTTAGAATGGGTTCACCATAAACCACGACACCGAGTTCCCGGTAAAATTAGAAACGCCATAGCGCCAATCAGTTTGCTCTTTGCGTCGTGAATGTCGGAATCAGATGAATCTATCATAGAGCTCATTGGCATCATCAGAGTCAGCAACCAAGTTATAGACGCGCGACGCACTCGTCTTGACAATTTTTATGAATATAGCCAATGGCGGCCAATGCCGACGGCCAGAAAACAATTGCAGGCATCTTTGCGCAGGAAAAGGTGGCTCAGGAGACGATCAAAATGATGTCTGTGTTGGGTCTGATCGACGAGGAGGCCTTGGCCGTAAGTACCCATTCTTTCAATGAAAGGGTTTATATTTATCTCGTATCAACTTTTACTGTTCTAGAGCGCATTGACAAAAATGGTACCTGAGGGTACAAAACAGCAAGCCCCTGCTGGACCCTCGCATTCGAATGGTCCTCAAGGATTTCCTCCAGCGTCCGCGTTGCCGCAGACTATGGCGCCTCTGCCTGGAATGGGTGTGGGTATACCTGGACAGGTACTAGGAGGATTTGTGCAGCCTCCCCCCCATGGGTTTGATGCGCCGCCGGGGGGTGGATGGAATGCTCCTCCACCTCCAAACATGATGCCTCCTATTCCTCCGCAACAGCAACAACAGCAACAACCACCTAGGGGTCCTGGAGGAGGAGATATCTCAAATTTATTCGGACAAGGGTTGTCTCAGGAGGAGCGGGTGAGCGCTATATCTAATGTTCTACAAGACTTGTTCTGACTTTGTTCATCTCAGACATTGGTAACTGCTGCACTGTCCATGTCTCAACAAGAAGTAGATATGTTACCTCCTCAACAGCGGGCCATTTTCATGCAATTGGTACGTGTTTGAATGCATCTTCAGTCCCATGTCGGTTCTTGCATGAACTAACCTGTGCCGTAGCGTTCCATGATGCCAGGAAGATGAAGAAGCTTGCATTCACTCTACCTCAAAACGATCTATTGTCGGAAAGCGCTCCCTCACTTGGCCACCTCACAAATGCACGAGTTTGGTGCAAGACTGCATAGCACGTCCGGGGTAATAAACAATATGGATAGAGAAGAGAATGTAAATAGTCGTGCTCAGTCGATAGTAACTCCCCTTGCACGGAGATCCGACTTGGCCATGCTAATTTCCTGTGTTAACACCAAATCGTTAGCGTGAATCCTGATAGATTGTGAGACGGAAGAGATACATACGGTCATCAGCTCTTCATAGGCATCCTGACAGTCTCTAAATGTGAATAGACCCCATCCCAGCGACCACAAAGAGTATGAACCAAATGTGACTAGGCACCACCAGGGCAGCTATACATCGAGAATGTATCCAATATTGTCAAACAAATCATAGATTACATGGTCAACATTACAGGTAACCAAACTATATTGGAAAAAGGGACACGTACAACCGGCCAGATTTGACCAACCGTTTCCTCTTCGATGAGAGGAACGGATACGAGTTTGAAAAATACAAGTGCGTAGATTACGCTTAATATGGTTGTGTAGAGAGTGAAGCGTTTGGCCCGTGTCATTGCCAGCTGGTCGAAGAAAAGGAGTCGTCTAGGTCAAGAGGTTTTGGCCGCGTATTGAATGACATTCATCACAGAGCAGTGTACAGCCGTTGGATAACTTTTGGACACGACCACTACTTGGGACATTTTTTTCTTTGGCATAGAGGGTTTCTCTTTTCCTCCTAATTACTCTTAATTTCCACACATTGTCGTGCCCTCTCGTGGTTGACGACCACAAAAACCGTCAAGGCATTCTCAGGCTGAGCAGGACCTCAAAAATCACCATCGTCCCGTCAAAACACTTTTGCATCTGCATCACACTATGAGCTCTGGGACTTCTACATCGAGAAATCCTAATACTTCCTACCACCCACTTGTCGAGAATTCATCGCATCTCGCACCCAGGACACCCCACTCTCGAGCCGGTAGACCAGTTACATCGTTCAATGATAATGAAACGCGCTATTATGATGACGAAGATGCTCACATAAATAATACCTCTCACCGAGCTGGTGGAATGCAGGATGGAGACGATAGGGACGAGATTGATATGCTCAACGCACGACAAAACACACCATTACTCCGTTCGTCCGCGTCAGATCACTATCCCGTTCCTCAACCACCACCTCGAGTGTCGCCTTACCCGACGACATCCACTACGACCCATGCCAACCGGGATAGGAGACACGATGGTTCGTCGGGTCCATTTAATACGACTGGCACAAAGACCTTCTTCGAGACGGTGCCCCTTGTGCTCGGGGCAATCGGGGCTTGTGTGCTCTTCGCGCTCATTGTTCTGTCCTTCAATAAACCCGACCTCTTGCAACGATATATCCTCAAGAACTCGACGACCACCGACCCCAATGTGCTCAAGGAGATCAAGCATGCTATCCATGGATGGATTGATTATATGAATTATACGACGTTCCCGTTGGATCCGTATGAGTATGAGGAAGAGTGTTGGAAGGTGTCGCAACACCATGGGGGTATGATGCACCATGCACATTATTGGGATACGATCATGACCCATGGGCTTATTCCCGAATGGAGTACTGATGGAAGATTGGAGCAACACCCCTTAGATGTGTGGCATCCAAAGAAACCGGGAGTAGATGGTGTTTGCAGTAGCACGATCACCTACATGTTGGATGGGGAGGTGGGATTGTTCTATGATCTCGCCTTGTTGGCACAGACGGCAGCATTTGCAAGAGAGGTATGTTTTTGGTGCTGTATCACATTCGAAAATACTCTAACCAATGGGATGTTTTGTAGAGGACCTCTCTCTCCTTCTCCCCGCCACGCTCCACTAAGCAGTGCAAAGTCAATGATCATCCCCTTGGTCCATCGAG